CAACAAACTTTTACATGGAAATTGTAGATCTCGTCGTTCTCTACAAGAAAGATCTGATGCAATTTTCCCGTATGTCCAACGGTTTGGGAGTTATTGAGGAAAAACGAAATTTTTTGTCAAAAGTTGGCTGTTTCGACGGTGGGATGGTCGGATTTTGTCAACATCAATAAAATACGACATAATCATACTTAACTCATTAAATATCGCAATTAGAAGAAGAATTCACTATTTTTAATCATAGGAAATGCGTTTTTCTAAGGTACATAAACTTTTGGGATTGACTGTATAGCCAATACATCCTTGATACGTCTCACTGTCAAATTGATTTTTGTTTCAGCTCATTCTTTCTTCATACATTGTAAAGGAGATAAGAGGAATTTTCTTACAATTGGAAGGCGGCTAAAAGGGAAATGGATGTACGGTTGCACTAATTGAAATGTTCATTACCGTGTTAATTATTCCGTTCAATTATCGGGTCCGTGTAGAGGCTGAGATTGTAACATAAACGTAAATTGCAGCCTCCTCTAATCGCACGCGGTTGTATCCCGGTGCTTCAACTAGTTTCCATTCGAAACGGGAGTGCACGCGCTTATGTTCCCGAATTTCATCAATGTATTGGTTACTTAATAACATTAGAAATTTTGAAAATAATAGATATTGAAAAAAGTGAAAAGCAACGTGCAAGAATATAATCAACTAGTTTTATAAGATTTTTTAATTCGTCGCTTGAATTCTCTTTCACTGAATGGAAATGTTCTAATCGCATTAAGTATTGTTAGATTATAAAATACTAGGAGGATATTAAATTATTCCAAGAAATTATACGGTGTTTGCATATCGTTAGTGAATCTACATAATTATCTTCACCTACCGTAACTTACTGTACACTGTAGAATTAGTATAGAAAATACTATACTGGTATGTAATAAATTTTCTAAATTGTTAAACACGAAGTAAAATGATGTTCGGTGAGGGCGAAAGATGTGAGATATGTAGATTATGTTTCAATCGTTGATTCAATAATTGAAGTTAGCTTGAACTCGGCTTTAGTTTCGGAAATTTAGTAGCTATTATTTTAACCTGTTACACAGTACGTATAGAATGGGAAACTAGTGCATAATGAAAATATTATATGTTAAAATAACAGACGTGAAAATACCGAAAGGCCGTAAGGAACAGGGACGATGGGATGACAATCATAACACTCGGTACCATGGGACGTTATATTCCGGGCAGTTCGTGTATTTAAGATTTTTGTATGGAAATACGAAAATGGAAAATTTGCGAAATAAAGAAACAAAAAATTTGGTAATAGTACCTAAACAGAGCCAACTTTAAAATATTGTTTCTCTTTCTTTAAAATGCTCTGAACGTATTGTTAAAATTGGCTATAATAATTTCATTTGTCTCGTGCTAGTTAGATGAACTTGCTGCGCTCGCTTTTGTAATATTCCAAATTCGAGAAACAGTGCAATTGGAAACAGCTCGGCTCCAACTTGCTGGTAGTAGGTATGCAACGTGTTCCAGCGTACATAAGCCGTTCGCATTCGCGGTTCCAGTTTGCGAAACACGGCAGCCTGGCAACGCGATTCGCTCTACACATGGGGACCCGAGCAAAATGAAGCAAGGAGGGTACCTACACAAGTCGCATTGATTACACAACCAAGCCCGAGCACTTCGACTTTCCGTAGACCGCAACAGTAGCTGCGTTCTCGTTGGAACACCAACGATACGAACGATACCAAACATCAAATCGTATAAACGTGTATAATGAACGACGAGTGTTCTCAATTTCAGGAGAATTACAGGAGCTCTGAGTTATTAACTGAAGTCTGATTTATTAAATTATATTAAGTGAGCGAAGCTGTACGAATACCGAAAGATGATTAAAATGTCGTTTCGATGAAGCAATATCGGATACACGAAATTAATATTCAATTGGTTTTTCACAAACGGTGGAAGACAGTATTATCATGGAAACGTCTATCTTTTCCTCGAGTGCCGACCGGTAAAGAACTCGAACCTTCGGGCCAGCCATGAATTATGAATACACGTCGCACCATCGGGGGCGTCTATTTTCCTTCGATTTGAATTTTTACAGCCAATTTATTCGGTCGCGAAAAAACGACTCGAATGAATCGATGAATTACGATCGCGTCGCGTCGGGGGCAATGATCAAGTAGCTCCAAATTTTCATGCATTATTGCGCTCCACGGAGACTGGGGATTACAATTTACTTGTGTCAAACCTGTCCACCGAGAATACACAAGTCACTTTTACAGCGGAATTTCTAGAACAATTATAAGATACCGCATAATTATTAAATTTCGCAATAATAGAATCAAGGATTTTAAATACTTGGTTTAACCCTTAACATTTAAATACCGAAAGGTTTTTAGACCCATATCTCTTAATAAGACCTTTGGCATTTCGTTTCTGCGAACATTATAACGTAGGCAGCATTGCAATTAATGAAACAAGCAAACAACTCGGTAAAAGGTTTTATGAAACATAATATTCTTTCAGAATTATACTTTGTTATTTCTACGTAACGACCACCGTAGTACACTCGGTATTGTAGGACCTCTAATGAGATTAGGTACTGGACACCGAGACGTTTCTCAAGTAAAAAGTGCGCATTATTAAGGAAAACCTTTAAAAGTATCAAATTCGCGGCCTGCAGAGGAACTCAGTCCTATCATATACCGTCTGGTTTCAAGTTTACAAAATGCGAGCTTTGACAAAATTCGCTGGCGACTCACCTTTTCCTTGTCGCCGATGTGGATCAGCATGTTTGCTTTGCCTTCCTCTAGGTAGATTTGCAGCCGATCTGGGCTGTTCTCGAAACCCGTGGCTAGGAGGAGGCCGCGTGGCCTAGTCGTTTTGAAACGGACTACTATTTCCTCGGCTTGCGTTTTCGAGTCCTCCGGCATCAACGCAGTCATTTGCTGTGTTCCGTTCAAATGCAACGTTGATGCGTCTGAGAAACGACAAAGAAGGGTTATTAACTATATTGTACATCATTGCATTATTAAAGGTTTCTATATTTTATTTTTAGAAATTAGTCATTTTATGTCTCTTTTTTTCTTTATTAAAGTGTTTGAAATCTTATTTGAAGGCTTATTATCGCTACATTAGTTCCTTATAGATGTAGATAATTAAATATATATAATGTATTACAAAATGAATAACATAGTAACAAAGGGAACCATAAACATAATTAGTATTAAACTTTAAGATTACATATCTTTATGAATTGGTATATATAGTCGCATGCAAGTATCTGCGAATTCTAGAGTAAGCATGAGTAATTCATTTCTCCCCACACTAGTCGCTCTCCCCACTATTCGTAACTGTAGATACGCGTCTGTACGTCACATAGTGTCAAGTATCCCCACCTTAGCTCGTGCTCAAGACCGTGTCTTTTGAGAGACACTTTTGTCTGTCTGATTCTAGAGGTAGGTAAAATTTTAGTTCCCATAAGTCTGTGATTAATTTGATTCTTTGCTGCACTGCCATAAAACATGATCAATGCCTTCAGCTTCAGAGCCACATTTGCAGCTAGCACTTGTGATAATACCAATTCTAAAGAGAGAGGCAGCAAGATAATAGTGATTAGCTGTGATTCGATTGATAGTGGTTACAAATTCTCTCTTGGCGTTGACATAGTTTTTATGATGGAATCAAGGAGCTGAATTAGGATTGTAATGATGCTTGAAGTACAATTTTCCTTTAAAGTTAACATATCGCTTGTACGTAAATTCGCCTGAATTATAAAAGATTGGAATAAGTCCGAGAATCATTTTATGTATTATATAGTATTTATGTTCATTTCACACACATAGAGTTTGTGAAAACGTATTATTAAATTAATCTCGTGATGACGCGCTTTGTCTTCTATTGACTCAGAAATTCTATCAACTCTGTATGTAGAGGAACGAGATAGTCTCGTTTTGCACGGTTAGTCAATCGAATGCGACGTTACACAAGGGAAAGGCTTACCTTTTCCACATGTAGGACCGGTGAAGGGTGTTCCCGTGCAGTCGCAGTGAAACCTGTTCCAACCCTCGAGACAATGGCCACCCTGCATACAGGGTTGCGAGGGACAGTGGGGCGGTTGAGGGTGACAGGCCGGCCTGACAGCGCCTGCAAAATTGTCCGGAGAAACGAAATTATGGAGACAGTGACACGTGCTTCCAGTGCAATTTTCCGTTTTACTGAAAGGGGATCCACCGCCGAGGATTGTCAAAACGAGTTTAATTGTGTCATCGTGTCTTCGTGATTTAATAAACGTGTGTGTCGATGATCATAAGAAAAATTTAATATACTAGAATTGTTAATGACGTTTATAATAAAAAATTATATCTCATTACGTTCCGATTAAAATTTAATTGATGTCTTTCTTAACATCGAATTATCGTTCAGATAGATTTTCAACAACAATATCTCATAAAATATTTCCGATTTTATGGAATATTATTGTAAATATCATTTATATTATTAACAAGACGATTGTTGACGACGTGAAAATGTTCTTTAAGTTCGAACGAGAACATGTTTCTATCACAAGCTGTGGTGTCCGAGTGGTTAAGGAGTCAGACTCGAAATCTGATGGGCTATGCCCGCACAGGTTCGAATCCTGTCCGCAGCGAAAATTTTTTTTTTACTAAAAACGTATTTTTTTATCGCCAATCTTTTATTCATAATATTCCTTTACCACATTTTGCGACAAAAACTAGTTTATTATTATAAAATAAAATATTAATGTNNNGAAACAAAAATAAAGGTACAAAATATATATTTATTTATGTACATTATATAAACAAATCATGTTCTCCCTAAATATGTGTATTTTGCTGTAATCGTATATTAATAAAATTAATAGTGTATTATTTTTGCATATTGTGAAACTATTCTATCAAGCATTTAACATATGTTGTTTTTATTCTACAAAATAAAGAGTGCATGGTGCATGGCACGGACGCATGATTCAGGCAAATATTATATTTTGCAGCGGATTTGCACAGTAAAGCGTTCGGAAAGATTATACGTATCGGAATTTTCAATTCTTGATATTGTTTCACGTTGTAAAATGTTTTTCGAGGAAATACATCTGTTGGAAAACAAGTACTCGCTTCGATCAAATCGACGTTCAACCGCGAGATAGAGAGATATTCTGTTTTCAAATTTATTTTTCACGGAACGAACTGTTCGAGGAATGACAAACGTAGTCATTTTTCACGAGATGGGAAATCTGTGTTCGTGTTTCGCTCGAAACAAACGCGCGTGAAATATTTTTGCGGTCTTTTTTTTTTGTTTTTGGTTACCGGAGTCTTGTTGCTGAGCGTATCCGGCTATATCGATTGGTTGCCCGTTTATGACAAGATCCCTCATGCAACCGACGTAGCCCTGTCTCAAGGCACCTGTCCACAGCACCGGAGGAACTGTTAACGGTGCAAATGGAGCGCCCACGCCACCGATATACAGCAATCCGTCTAGATCAAGTTGCGTAGAATCGCCTGAAACATGGAATTTATCCTCGTTCAAATCATTACAAAGAAACAAATGATGCATATTAAATTTCTTCAAAAAAAGAACGAAGAGTTCAAATTGGCAGTGATAAATTGTCTGAGTGTCGTTTTATGAAAATTGACTGCTTGTTTCTAACGTGCAATCACAAAGATACCGCTCATTAAAAATTTCACGGCTTTAATAAAGTTTCTTCTTCATTTAAAATTCCATTTTATTCGTCCACTTAAAATTTCATGCTTCCTGTATGTAACCTGAAAGTACATTACTACTCGAAGTAGAATTTTATTCGATCACTCGAAACTTCGTTCTCCCAACGCGATCTGAACAAGTAAATTGACCATTAATCCTCGATTACTTCAAATCCAGTTCTATTTTCTAAAGTATAATTACGTTCCATTTCACGGACGTTGACTTAGCCATCTACCTGCGTAACAATTTTATCTGGTTAGATTCGAGTATTAAATTATTATTTCTATTTTTTTGAAAGAAGAACCAATCTGTTCTCGTCGCAACTTAGAAATTAAAACTGTCGAAAGAAGATTGGAATTAATGTTATTGCAATAGTTTTCTTGTTTCCCACGGCGCGTACATACGTCAATTTTAACTGCGCTTATCTAAAACCGTGGCGAGCACACTGTCATCATTTTTTATACTTCCCCTGGTCGTTTTCGATTTTTAATCGGCATCGTAAACGGGACGCCGGGACGTTTCGGTGACAAATACAAAATGGCACGTGATTCATTGTCGTCCTCGCGGCAACGTAATTTATACGAGTTCTTTCACGGCCAAAATCGACCGCGAAATTCGTCATTAATCTATTCCCCGCAAGTATGAAATGTGGGACAGTCACTCGTTGCACATTACAATATCACCTTTTATTTATCGGCCATTCGTTGTTACGAGCATATTTCTCAATTAGTGGAATCATTATTGATTAAAAATAAACAATTTTTAAAATTGTAGAATGATGAAAGAGACGCGAGCAGAGAAACATTACAGCGACGAAGCTCATTTTCCTTGTTGAAGGTAAGATTGAAGAAGAAAAAAATGAGAATGTGAGGAAGAGGAGGAGATGGAAGAGCGGTTAAAGGAAAAAAGGAAATTGCAGTCGACGAAGGAAAACGGAGAGCTCACTCATCGAAAATTGTTACCACCTGCAAGCATGTAAAAGCTCGAGAGAGCTGAAGTTTCGTTGGGACCGGCACACAACTATAATTTTCAAGATAGAATTTTTTTGGCTACTGGCTATTTTAAAAACATGATTGGAATAGATTTGCATGCAAAAACAAATTATAAACATGTTTTTCTATAAGATACCATCGCATCGTATTCTCAGTTTAACGTTTTCAGTTTTAATGAAAATATTGTAAACTTCTAAAATAAATAGAGTTCCGCGTCAATATTTCCTCAGTTAGCTCATATATTTTTTCGATGGAAGAAAACAAAATTAGCGAATTAATTAGAGACTTCCGTAAACCGGAAATTGCGCGGATGTGGAACGGTCGATATATCGGGCGGAACGACGTTAAAACACGCGTAAACTTCTCGCTTATCTGTTCGAGCGTGGTTTCCGCGGCTCTCCGGACGCGGACGGTTTTTTTTTTCTTCCTCCCGGAGAGATTATTTTATTGGCTTAACCGTAATCGCGGTTTAAGCCCCGATGATTCATGTTTTACAGATTACTACACCACTCGCGGAGAATAACGCCGCCAGGAATTTAATTCGGTCGCGTCTTTGATATTCCGGATAATATTCTCCAACGTCAAAGAAATGGAAACGATGCCTTTCCGAGATGCAACAAACGTATCTTTTACTTAAACGGAATTATTTCGCGGCCGAGTGCTTCCCTTTGTCTTAAAACTGACAGCAATTTATCGAGCTTGAAACGAACTTGTTTTTATGAACGAGATTCATGCGCAATATGAATATTCAGTTATTACTCTATACGAAATATGTATAGTTCGACGTATTGTACACGGGATATTGGAAAATAAAATTCCACGGCCGAAATTGAGATGGTGAACTTTTTTAACAGAACAGTATTGATTCTAATTATAAATGGTACCTGGAGCTTTCCTGGCAGTTACGAGTGCAATTAACCTGCAGCAAGCGTTCACACTCGAAGAATTTGGGCAGCCTCGTCCGAATGAGGCGGTGAAATACAGTTTTGAGGCTGGTATCGTTGAAGTGTTAGATTTCAAAGACTAGTTTCACGGGCAAATTAACTAGCCGTGTAATTCGAGTGACCACTGAGTCTCGTGAAACTTGTCCCATAGGGTTCGGCAACAAACATGCATTACGATGAACGGACACACTATTGTTTCGCTTGACTTTCATCATTAAAATTATAATAAAAACTGAAATACACATGCAGCTTGGTGTTCAATTGAATTAAGGATTTACTCGCTTATTTGGAAGCCTGATTAAAAAACCGTATTAAGAAACGTCTCGCTTATAAAAAGAACTATAAAAAGAAGATATTTTAATAAACTTTAAGCCAGAAGAAATGAGTTTCATACAGCAAACGGGTTTATTTCCAATACTAAAATATATTACAAAATATGTTTTTAATTCATGAAAACGATTCTGAATTTAAAATTATAATCTAATCTTGGAGGATATCCTGGCGATATTCTTGGAAGCAAACTCGGCTTATAACATTACGATTCTTAACCAATTATCACAAAGCTGATCTACTTTCGTAAGTCTTGTCTCTGCCGAAGCTTTCCGAGAATTATAAGCGTCAAAGCGATCTAATGAGAAAAGCTCGCGCTTCCGGGAAGCGAGTCTACGGCAAAGGGAAGTTTTTAAACGTTTATAAAGCTTGCATTAGTAGGTCGCGAGTATTTTCCCTGTGAGAGTAAATCCGACTGTTACGAATCTCCTGCGGATAAAACGCGTTGCCGGAAATCGATAGCCGTTAGAATTTAACGCCACGCCGCGCAGTCACGCCGGTCGTGTACACACATAAGTACGCGAGAAGTAGAAGGAAACGGAATCCGCAAGGAGGATGTGCCGGACCAAGATCTTTGAGGGAGGGAATGAACGTGATTCCTGCAGCCGCCATTATTTGAACTAGACGACAGAGGGAAAGTCGATGAAGGATTCACCGACGCTGAAAACTCTCCGCTTTCTGTTTATTTATCGGTTTAATATAGCTCCGCCCGGTACGCTTCCTAAGATGTACCACTGCTTCTACAGTTCCCCGCTTGTTTGACTTTTTATTCCCTTACTCCCTCACTCCCCCGACCTACACAGTTTTCCGAGTTATGAATAAGTTCGCGTTTCTAAGTCCCTCGGAAGTTTTAATCGACTACGAATTGACTTTTCATAAGATCATCCGTACTTATTTTGCAATAAATGCTGACGAATAAAAGTAACGCTGGTTCGCGTTTAATTTTTTTCTCAGCGTACAAGTCGCTGGGTTTTTTCCAATCAGATAATGTATGATCGATCACGGGTATGTAAATTACAGACTATTTTTATTTCATACCTGGTGTGTGGAACTCGACTATGGTATCGTCGACGGTCACGCGTCCATCCCTTTCGACGCGGCGAAGTGCGACGTCGTGCCATATGCCGTCGTCCATGCGCTGCTTCGACGACTTCACCTTGACAGGCCCGCTCCCAAGATCAGCGTGCAGATACAGGTGACCACCGAAAATTTCAAACGCGAAAAGGTCTTGCTGCAAATGAAAATATAATCGCTCTAATCCGAAAATAACTCCCTTTCGTAATCCTATAAAATCCTATTTAGAACGAAATCTTTTCAATTTCACCCTCCGACTATATCCCCATCAGAGAGATTCATTCCCGACTCTGTCCGCCTTCATAAAATATTACCCGAATGACTCTAAAAAGATTTCCCGCTGCATTTCAAAAATGCAGCGACGTTGCATCGGTTGCGTTTATTTAGTTTAACAGCCACGTACATATTAACAAACATCGAGGCCGGGTCTGCCTGGCACTCTGACACACGTGGGACGTTAACGTTAAAGGGAGGATGCATTTATTCGCGGAATCCACTGATTCTGCTAATGAGTAAGCTGCACGAACTCGCGTCCACGCTCGGCGCACGCAGCCTTAACGAGAAACACCGGTGTTCGCAACTTTCCGATTTATTTCACGCCGCGCGTCGCCGCCGCTGCTGCCGTCGTTCCGTGCCACGCAGTCGTGATTACTCGCGATGGTAACGCTGCACACAGTGCCGCGTTCGCGTCGCCCGTTCCATCTAGTTTCAACGTTGAAATATAATTGTGGGAATTATACGAGGCGGTACTGTGTTAAATCGAGATAACTGCCGAGTACGCGAGCTCCCGAGAGCCGCGGAAATGCATTCCCTCGCCGTTGACCACGCGACCCGAATTCATCTGACCCCGCCACGCACCTGTATTACGTCCGGTCGTTGAATTCGTCAAAATGTCGCGTGTTTGATTTTAAAAAGCGTGAACTACTTCACTCAAGATTCGCATTGTTCGTTGGATCGTTACCTGACACGTTACATATTTTTTGTTTGCCTTTAGAAAGCTCGAAGTTCTTTCTTTGAGCTTAACGACTGTATTATTCTTTTCACATTTAGCTAATATGCTTGAAATCTTGATTTGAGGCTAATTTCTGATTAATAACTGGATGGAAATAAATCTTTGTATTTCTATTTCACGATTCTCGACCAAATGACCGATCCTGTGGGGTGGCTACTTGAAATCAGTGCTCCTTTTAAATCACCCTCTGGATCTCTTTCCCATTATTCGCGAGGCCGCCTGTTTTTTAATGAACCTAATTGTTCCGCACGGGTTTCCCGCGTCGATTAATCGAAACGGCAACGTGGCTACAGATCCGGCAGGAATATTTCGGGAAAAATGAAAAGGCCACGATAAGCCCGGTAGTTTCCAAGGCCTTGGTTAATGAAACTGTTCATTATGGCCTCGGTTGTTTAATATTCGTTTGCGTGTTTAATAACTTTTCATTGAACATTTTTCACTACGCGTCTGTCTAGCTGTGTCACGAAATTTATTGCCATTTATATACGTTTGCTCGTTGCAAATTGCATGAAGAATATTGTATGATAAATTGCATTACCTTTGCGACAAACAACAGAATAAAACTATAATTATAGTATTTGAAGTTACAAACTACGTTATGTCATTTAAAGGATTTCGTATTATTATAAGAAGTAAAATTGTGCGTACCCTGGTGTGAGCACCGCTGCGGCTATACATGATCAACCCGTTCGGTTCGTTGGTACGGATTTTGAAGGATATACTGCCGGACTTGGCCGCCTTCCAAGGTGGCAGGACCTGAAACAGACCAGACGGACGTCTTTTAATGCCTCCACTCTTGGCCGCCGCTTCCGAAAGACGTAAAACAAAAAGAAAAGATTCCGAAGAAAAAAGAGGTAGCGAGAAAAAAAGGCGGAAGGAAGAAGAAAATCCCTCGACGTCCTGAAGAAGAATGGCGAACGGACAGCGAGAGCCGGGCCGGGTCCGCCGTGTTCGGAATCCAAAATTTTCCGCCTTCCCATCGCCGTGGACGGGTCCATTCATCATGCACGACGGCTTAAATAATCACGTGTCCCCTGCTCGTGGAATTTTTACTTCAATTTCGCTGCGGGACCGAGTCTCCTGCGACTGACTGATTTACGTACACCCCCGCCGTCCCACGCTTTCCACTGTTCCCATTGGGAAATTCGCTGGCCAGCTACGTCTCCACGCGTCGCGAGAAATTCTTATCTGAGTTTACCGTTTTATTTATATCGCGGATGAGCGGGAATAAGATTCAGGCTCATCGAACGAGTCGGTTTTGAATGTTACAGAGGAAGAATTTTATCGTAGATTTTGTGTATCTTGAAATCCTCAATGTTCAATGTTCGATTCAATGAAATTGACTGAATGTTAGAGAAGAAGAATTTTATCGTAGATTTTGTGTGTCTTGAAATCCTCAATGTTCAATGTTCGATTCAATGAAACTGATTGAATGTTAGAGAAGAGGAATTTTATCGTAGATTTTGTGTGTCTTGAAATCCTCAATGTTCAATGTTCGATTCAATGAGACTGACTGAGAATATGTGGAATTATAATATAATGATTTGTCAGTGTACATTTTGTTTGAGTCTTAACAGTTTGGGTGACAGTGGGTTTCTGGGTAAAATGTATGAAAACTGGTGCAAGGGTAGATCGAGAATTCAATAATTATTTATATGTAATTAACAAACTGTAAAATACTGAGAAATTATAAAGAATATTTGCAAAGGTTCATTTATACACTATCGACTGCAAGTCACACGAAGCATATTCTTGCGGGTGGCAGGAAACTTTTTACAGCCCGAGTCGATGTCTAGAAGAAATTATCGAACGTCTGTTCCACCGATAAAAGGCGACAGAATACGTGACGCGTTTTTACAGTCTCGTTCGACGATTCATGGAAACAGGAGTAGAACAGCCGTTTCGTTTGATGCGGATCCACAATGGTCAGCCGTGTCCTGAATTATTCACGGAAAGGTAAACCTCCGAGAAGTTCAAACTCATACTAAGCAAGAAATTTATAAAAAGTGTTTGCTAATATTTATGAGGCATTTCTTAAACCGTGTTTTATATTCGATTTAATAAAACGACGATTCCATAAATACGCTCAATAAACGTTCACGACTCTTTTATCAAGTAAATTCTACAAGTATTGGAAATTCCATGAAATCTCTTTTGTTTTTGGCTATTGTCTACCGTGGCGGGTGGTCGTAATTTTGGATTCAGGACGGTTTCGGTAGCACGGAGAGAGAATAAGCCGCACCAAGTGTAATTGCGCCTCCATGACAGCGAGGCCAATTTCCGTGCAGAAGAGTGGGCTCGAAAACTCACGGTAACGAGACTCATTATTTATTCTTCCTGCCTTTGTTTCCCCGAGGCCTGTCCGTCCCTCTCTTTCGATGGGGAACCAACTTTACGCCCCAAAGCTTCGTACTTCGTTTTCGGTTTGGCTTCGCGATTTGCATCACACGGAGCGACGCAGAATTTCTCTGAATCTTTAAATACCTGCCTTTTTCATTTTCATCGAGACTTCGTTTAAGCCTCCATGCCTTTAATTCGCCAATATTATATTGTAATTAATTTCGACTTTTCTGAAATCTCACAACTTCGAAGAGCAATTTCAGTCGTACAAAGGATCTGATTTTTATTGCACAATAACCGTGAGCGTTGTTCACAACAAACTCAGCGCAGGAGTTTTGATATTTTCGCGTTGCTGCAAGTAACTTAATTCAAACAGGAGAATCTCAGAGTTCTCGCGGTTCGCGTTACAGCGTGGGTGACGCAAGTCGAAAGTTAGAACCTCGAGGCTTTTATGATCCTAGTTACACTGCGAATAATTTCAGTCCGGTAAAATTGAGACACAGAAAGCTGTTTAACTAACTTAATTCTAACTGACTTTATTTGAATTGAAGATAAGAGAATTAAATAAATTCTGACTATCTCTGTTAATGATGGCTGGTGTATAACTTGATGAATTTTTATTCAATTGATGAAGGAAGAAAGTATTAACAAATCTAATTTGGATTTCTTTTGAAACAAAAATGCACAGAACTCCATTAGAAATAAAGTAGAAGCTGACAATTTTTGCGATTTCTCTAGGAGCATCGAAATGAATCATAGAACTCGTTCTACGATGAAATCTCTTGAATTAGTCGGGAATGAGAAATCTCGTTTAGGGTGGGTACTCTCCCTCTACGTCTCCGTGGCACCCCTCGCACCCTTAGAAATTCGTCTGGGGAGTTTGGAACCACCGGAGAGCGGTGCTTTCATCGCGAATCCCCGGAAAGGGGTATATTTCATTTCCGAAACATACCCCGACTCGGTCTTTGCCCTTCTACTTTCCAGTCACCGATCCTTCTTCCCAAACCCTGCTCCCTCCTATCGGCTTTAGGAAATCAGCCCCGCGAAACTGTCGGCTGAACGCGAGAGATGATCAACTACGAAAGTTTAATTACTTGCGAAATATATTATTAGCTAATTTATGACATACCCTCATTTGCAATCTCGATTATCGACATTCCAACACTTCTGAGAAAATTGCGTCTATAAATAGTTCAATAATATTAATCTCGAGATTGCTTCCAAAAATTGCTCGGTCTTTGAATTAGAATTTCTTCTGAAATGGAGCACGTATTCTGGTTCGCGACACTCAGATGAGATTCCTTATCTAGCATCATTGGTCTAGTTTCAAGACTTCAACCAAAAACCGAGATGAGTTTACTTAAAATGACAAAATTAGATCTGGCCGTCTGCCACGAATTCAGTCGAAGAATTGCAGAAGAGTATAGAATAAAAGATGAAATTGTACAAAATGAAATCGCACGGATCTCATATTAAAAGAGAACTTCTCGTGCGTGAGAACAACCATGTCAATATAAAAAGCAAGACTCTGTCAGAAATCAGCAATCTCCGTGGGTAATTAGTAGACCTAAAAAAAAAAGTCTACCAACATGGAAGTGTCGAGATTCGTCAACCACCCCACGAGGAACCAAGTGGTTTAATTAGAGCAGAAGACCGAATGCCTCTCTCAATTACCGACGCGGACTAAACGGATGAGGGAGAACCGTGAGCTAATGTTTGATATCCTCAAAAGAGAGACTCGACTCGTTTATGGGGTTCGGAATTCTTTCTGCCTGTCGGGTGGCAACGAGATCCGTGGCGAACCGCAAGAACCTCTATCCCCAGGGCACGCTTAATCCGCGAAAAGGATGACAGAAGACGGATAATTCAAAGAACGAGTGTTCAAAGCGCTGAATAAAGGGACTACTTTGAAGTGGTTGTAAACACGCTCGCCTGGCTTCCAGCCACGGTTTAACGAATGACGACGACTCCTCGCGCGGTTGATAAACTATCAGTCGCAGTCCTACTTTCGTTCTGTGCAAATTATTTCTCATTTTATCTATATAATAAATTCTTTCCATGATCCCTTCTATTGTTTGCACCTGCTTGTTAAATTTTCACATATTTCAGTATGTTTCTCACATTTTATACCTGCTTGTGATTTTAACGTCTTTTTTATTTTTATTTGAGAAGCCATTTCCTTTGGAGGCAATCAATTTACAATAGTACACAGTTTACTGTCCCTTGAAAGTGTTCAACCAGTGAATTTACGGAGAAGCCACGCGGATTAGTTGCAGCATCGACGCGACCGTAAAGATTTCGTTAGCCGATGTTTCGACTTCTGCGAAGATTTACGCCGGAATAACGGGGATGAACGTTAATCCCATAGGGCGATATATCGTTTTATAGCTCGTAAAAATCCTGAAGGGATCGGTAAAAGGGTTTCACGGGAATGCGTTCGATAAAATTATAAATGCTTCTCTTAAATCGTGTTATACAATCTAGTAAGAGGGCGAAAGAGCTTACCGTCTGTGTTCGTCGTCTCTTTCTCTCTGTCTCTGAATAGTTTGGTGAGTATCCAGACAGTAAACTCACTCCTTGATAGTGAGAAATGGCGGAGCGCTTGTGTGAAGTGTAAGACGTTCGTCGTTACCGGGAGGTCCATAAAATCGAAGGGAAATCGCGTCGCTTGTGTTTGTAAGAAATCTACGATAACAGTGAAAGCCGGCGAGAGTTTCTAAAATCTATTTTATATCGGACTGGATGCGATTGTCGGAAGTGTCGTATCTCAAGAAAGAGACTACCCTTAAGCCGCTCGGACGGATTCAAGTTTGATGCCCGGTATTGCAAGTTTTATGCGAGCTGCGATACGATTTCCAAACATTTGACCGTTTACTGTGGACATTAACAGAATGCCTCTTAAGAAAGGGAATCAATGTTTACCAGTTGTTAAGGGATTGAGGAATGTTTTTTTTATACACTCGTACATCGTATCAGCAATTATGTAACTCTGTATTATAAAAATATTAATTAGACGAGAAATGTTAGAATAAATTTTTAACACAGTATTTCCTGAGAATTATAAAAGGACTCTAATTCATATAAAGAAATGTTGACATGAGTTTCTCTCGGATGGAAAATAATTGATTTCGGGCGATGAAATACTATTCGACCGTGGCAATAAAAGATAAAGGGCCGCGATAGGAATGATAGATTTACGGTTACGTATTTAAGCACGTTGAGTCATTTCGCGTGGGAAAGCGAATCTGATGAATGTGACGTGCGATAAAAATGTTGATCCCTTACTAGCTAGAGAATAATTGCTCTCGCATGTTGAAGTTATTTTAAAAATAATTTTTGTTCCACTTTCTAATAAAGATCAATGTTGACAATGAGCTAGTCACATTTCTCTCTTAGTGTGCCTGTTATAAGTGATT